TACTACGACTACTACTACTACTACTACTACTACTACTACTACTACTACTACTACTACTACTACTACTACTACGACGACTACGTTTACTACTACTAATACTACTACTACTACTACTACTACTACTACTACTACTACTACTACGACTACGACTACGACTACTAGTACTACTGCTACTACTAATACTACTACTACTACTACTACTACTACTACTACTACTACTACTACTACTACTACTACTACTACTACTACTACGATTACGACTACGAGGACGGCCTCGTTCTGGCGACGCCACGACTCAAATCAATCAACCAGGACGCTGGCGGAAGACGTGCTGCCACTCTGCACCGAGTACCATTGTACCCTCCTTCTGCTCCACCTCCTCCTCCTCCTCCACCTCCCCCTCCACCGCCTCCTCCTCCTTCTGTTCGGGTCGTCACCAGGACGTGCTGGTTGGGCGGTACAGGCGCTATCCTCACATCGTGAAACCCCAAGGCGTGATCTTTCCAACATCGACACTGATGGGGGGGCGGTCCGCTTTCGAAACGTGGCTCTCGCGTGGGCGCCGCGCGAATTCGGTTCAGCAGCGTCAGGGCGCAACAGTTACGTTGATTCGCGGTTTTGAAATCCCAGGAATGACGTTCTGGCACGGTTCACGATCGTCAAGACGCAACAATCAAGTTGATTCGTGGCGATGAAGCCCTGAGAATGGTTTTTTGGTACGCTTCAAGATTTCGACACGGTTGTCTCCCAACGGGGCACTTGCCTCAGTGGAAGTGAGTCCCTGTATGCGGCCTACGTGGAGGGAGGGTGTATCCCAACATCGTTGGCGAGTCTTGAGGTGTACCCTTGGTCCTCCTCCTCAGCCTCCTCCTCTTCCTCCTCCTCATCTTCCTCCTCTCCTCCACGTAGTGATCCCCTTTCCTCCTCCCCCTCCTCCTCCCCCTCCTCGATCCTCGATCCTCCTCGTCCTCCTCGTCCTCCTCCTCGTCCTCCTCCTCCTCCTCCTCCTGATCCTCCTCCCTCCCTCCCTCTCATGGCCCCCCTCTGGACCTTTGAGCGCGAAGGTACGCCACATCAGCATGCCCCTCCTCATCAGTCCCCCTCGTCCAACATTTGTCCTTCAAACTATTCCTCGCGATCGCAGCCCCAGGAGCGTCGCCGAGTCGGCAGGGCGGGCGGGGCGTGTCGCCTGAGATATGTCCTCGCCAAGTAAGATCATGCGCCTCGGAGCTTGCGACAGCTGCACGGATGGAGGCAGGGCCGCTTTCCAAGAAAACCTCATGCCTTCGCGCCGCGCACATTCGCCTTCAAAGTCTGCAACCGCTTCACGGATGGAGGGCGGGTGGTTTTCAAAATGTGGCTATCGCCCTAGCGCCGCGCACATGCGCCTGACAAGTATGCAGCAGCTTCACGGATGGAGGGCCGGCCATTTTGATGATGTGGTTCTCGCCTTAGCGACGCGGACATTTGTCTGAAAAAGTGTCCAGCAGCTTCACGAATTGAGGATGGCTCCTTTTCGACGCGTAGCTCTCCCTAGCGCCGCGATCATGTATCTTAAAGGATTACAGCGACTCCAAGGATTCGCATGGTCGAAGTTCCAAGAATTGTGGTCTCGCACGAACTGAGATGATGAGGACCCAACAGTCACACAAATTCGTGGTGTGATCAAGAAATAATGCTGTGGCACAAAATACAAGTGTCAGGGCGCAGCAATTGCATTGATCCGCGACGTTGAAGTCGCAGGAGCGGTGCTTTGGCACGGTTGGATACTATCAAGAGGTTGTCTTCTAGTGGGCCACACCCCGCCATGGAAACACGTTCTTTTGGGGACCTCTGAAGAGGGACTTTGGAGGGAGGATGGACTGCAACATCGTTGATGCATCTTGGGTGTACATTGGTCCTCCTCCTCCTCCTCCTGCCCCTCCTCCCCTCCTCCACGTAGTGCTCCCCCTTCCTCCTCCTTCCCCTCCTCCTCCTCCTCCTCCTCCTCCTCCTCCTCGTCATCATCATCATCATCATCATCATCATCATCATCATCATCATCATCATCATCATCATCATCATCATCATCATCATCATCATCATCATCATCATCATCATCATCATCATCATCAGCAGCATCACCAGCATCACCATCACCATCAACATCAACATACCACCACCATCACCATCACCATCCCCATCACCATCACCACCACCACCACCATCACCATCACCACCACCATCACCCTACAAATCCTCCTCCTCCTCCTCCTCCAATCCGCCTCCTTCTCCTCCTCCTCCTCCTCCTCCTCCTCCTCCTCCTCCTCCTCCTCCACTCCCCTCCTCCTCCTCCTCCTCCTCCTCCTCCTCCTCATCCTCATCCTCTCCTCCTCCTCCCTCCTCCTCCTCCTCCTCCTCCTCCTCCTCCTCCTCCTCCTCCGGTTCCTCCTCCTGCTGGTCTCCTGGGAGAGGCCATCCGGGCCCGCACTGCAGACCTCGGCTCCGCCGGTGCCAGCCGGGCTACCGCCCCAGGCCCCTGCCAGTGCTGCGGCTGGGAGGCTCTGCCGTCCAGGCCGTACGCGGGGTGCGCCTGCGGGTAGCCCTGCTGCGGCACCGCCCCGCAGCCCTGCGTGCAGCAGGGAGGGGGGAGGGGCGGAGGGAGGGGGCGGGGGGAAAGAGAGGCGGGGAGAGGGAGGAGGGAGGGAGGGAGGGAGGCGGGGAGAGGGGGGGGAAGGAGGGAGGGAGGGAGGGAGGTGAAGGAGGAGGAGGAGCAGCAGCAGCAGCAGCAGCAGCGGGAGCAGGAATGGGAGGAGGGGGGGAGGAGGGACAAGGAGAGACGGCCAAGGAGAATACGGCGACAAAAGGAGACGACGAGGACGAGGACAGGAAAGGGGAGGAAGGCGAGGGCGAGAACGAGGAGGGCGAGAAGGAGGAGGCGAGGGAACAAGGAGGGCAACGAGAAGGCGGACAGGGGAAAGGAGGACGAGGGCGAGGACGAGGGCCAGGAGGGAGAGGAACATCGGAAGGAGGACGACGAGGGCCACGGGCGAAGATGTGGTTCCTCTCATCCTCTGCCCCCGCCCACGGAGTCTGTGAGCCGACCCCCCTCTTTGGGGGGCTTCTCTTCAAACAAGTGCGGGAACTGCGAGGAAGTCTCGGGAGCGCGCGCCGCTCCTGAGCTTGGGGGCCTCCGGGGCGTCGCAGAGTGAGCTGTGAAGAGGTATCGAGCGGGAGCAGCTGTCGTCATGGCTGGGCCTTCACCCGCGCGGCTGACTTGCGAGGATGTCTCGGGCGAGAGCGCCATCAGTGGGAGCGAGAATGCATACGAGCAGGGCGCACGTAAGTAACTTACGAGAGAAAGTGCCGAACGGGAGCCGCTGTCGTCGCAGCTGAGCCTTCACCAGCATAATGGATGGCGAGGAAGTCTCAGGCAAGAGCGCTGCTCCTGAGTTTGCGGACGTCTCTGGCCAGGGCGCCTCGGAGTGACTTGCAGGGAAGTAACGAACGGGGCCCGTTGTCGTCGTAGTTGGGCTTTCACCAACTGGAGTGGACTTCAAGTAAGTCTCGGGCGACAGCGTCATTCCTGAGAGCGGTGGTATTCTCTGGCCAACGCGACTCGGAGTCAGTCGCGCGAAAATGTCGAACGGGCACCGTTGGTGAAAGAGTTGGGCCTTCACCAACTTGACTGCATTGCGAAGACATACTTTCGTTAGAGTTCCGCGAGCGCATCTGACCAGGGTGCGTGGGAGCAAATTGAAGGGAAGTGACGAACGGGGAGCCGTTGTCGTCGCAGTTGCACTATAACCAACTTGAACGAATTGCGAGGAGGTCTCGGGCGAGAGCGCCGTTCCCATGTTAAGGGACCTCTCTGGCCAAGACGCCTCGGAATCAGTTGCGAAGACATGTCGAACGGGACCCCCAGTCGTCGTATGTGGGCATTCACCAACTCGACTGAATTGCGGGGAGACCTCGGAAGGAGCGCCGTTCCTGAATTTAAGGCGCCTATCAGGCCAAGGCGTCTCAGAGAAAACTGTGAGGAAGTATCGAGCGGGAGCCAGTGGGCTTCAACAATAAGAGTCGGGAAACAAGCCAGAGCTCGAGCGGAAGCGTCGCTTCCAGAGAACACACACCCTGCGTCAAGGCGAGAGCGCCCAGAACCGTTTCCATAGACCAATAAGCAAATGATTCCACAGAAAAGAACATTCGACGACGACGACGACGACGACGACGACGACGACGACGACGACGACGACGACGACGCGCGTCGCACTCAGCGTCATCATGCAGGCGACGGCGGCGACGAAGGCAACGCGGCGACGGTGGCGACGAAGCGACGGCGGCGACGATGACCATCGGCGCTGCCACGGCGACGAGGCGACGGCGGCGACGAGGCGACGGCGCCGAGGCGGCGGCGGCGAGGCTGCCGCCCCGCCGGAGCCTGCGGCGGCGGCTGCCCCCTGAGGCCGGCGGGCCCGCTCGGCGCGGGGTGCGCGGGCGGCGGGGGCAGCAGCGCCCCAGGCTGGCTGTGCACGGCGCTGGGCGCGCGTCGTCGTCCGTCGTGGGTCGTCGTCGATCGTCGTCGATCGTCGATCGTCGATCGCCGTCGTCGTAGCCGTCGTCGCCGCCGCTGTGGTCGTCGTCCGTTGTCGTCATCGTCGGTCGTGGATATCTTCGGTCGTCGATCGTCGGTCGTCGGTCGTCGCCGTCGTCGTCGCCGTCGCCACCGCCGCCGTCGCCGTCGTCGCCGCCTCCGCCGCCGTCGTCGTCGTCGTCCGTGGTCGAGGGCCTGGGCGCGGCGCTCGGCAACGGCAGGAGCACGCCCTCCGCGGGCGCGGGCCCCTGAAGGGGAGGCTCGAAGGGCGGAGGCTCCGAGGGTCGAGGGTCGAGGGTGGTCGAGGAAGCTCGAGCAAGATCGGGGGTCGAGGAGCATCGAGCAAGATCGGGGAGGAGCGAGGATCGCGGAGGACGAGAAAGATGCAGGATTGTGCATCGAGGAGTTCGGGCATCCGTCGCCCTGGCCGGGGCATCTGGAGGCCTCTGGTGTGGCATCTCGAGGCACCTCGCAACGGCGGCGCGGATAACGCCTGGGGCGGGTCCGTGCCGCCGTTCGTGTTGCGAGGTCCGACTGCATGTGAATTCATGCAGGCACCTTGGGCACCTCCCTTCGGGTTGTGTCGCCAAGGTGTTCTGTCCGGGCACAAAAAAGGGGGAGTCTTAGGATCGCAGCTCTCGGGCGCTTGTTGGGTGGGTCCCTCGCGGGACTCCGGAGGACTCCTAGGACGGCCACCTCTGGGGACACTTCGGAGGAGCGACCAGGGGGGACTGGGGCCTCACGCTTTTGGTCTGCGGCCGCTTGACTCAAGCAGCGTTCGGACGACGGAGGGGCGCTTCCGAGGCGAACTGAGGCTCTGAAGCAGACGCGGCGGGAGGCGAAGGAGGCGCGGGGGGAAAGGAGCCGCGCTCAGAATGGCGCCTCACGCACACGGGGACGCGGCGACCTGGTGCGCGAAGGCCTACGCGGGCCGCCAGCGCGACACACCACGCTGGGTTGTCCAAGAAGTCCCGAGCCCAAAGATGTTGACGCCTCACTTCAGGGCCACCTTAACAAGGACACTGCCACGGAGGACGTTCAAGAATTTCCACGTGGAGAGAACGAACAAACAGTCTGTGTCAACTCATGCGAGCCTAACATGTATCTTGCTGGCTCTTGCTAACCACCGCTGATCGACGCTAATCGACGCTAGTGGTCGAAAGCCGTCGCTAAGTCGACGCTAATCAGCGCTAAATCGGCGCTTTCTCATCGAATACCAGACGAAATTTAGCGCACGCCTATGCACTCCAAAGACGGAATTGCAAGGACAAATCAGGATACCACAATGCTTCGACCCATTGTTGCAGTTATCACGGGCGCGCCAACATCCTGATGTATCGAAGTCCCCGTTTAGGGGGCCTTTCGGGCACCCGAAGTATGCAGGGTAAACCTGGTCCGGGTAGGGCCCAGTTCGGTGTCCCCAGGGCCCCCAGATCTGGACTTTGTCCTGCTTCAAAAAAAATCCTGGCGAAGGTCCCAACCATATGCAGTTGTGGGTACCGTGATTGTGAATATCTGCTTCGGTGAAGCTCCCTATGGGGCCACGAAGCGCTGCACTGGGCGGGGGGGAACGCTGTACTGTGTGGGTGGTGTGCCGAATTGGGTTTCCGGGACGCATGCGGACGGTCCCACTGAGGGCTTCGGTGGAGCCCCCTATGGGGCCACGAAACGCTGCACTGCGCGGGTGAAAATACCAAATTACATTTCCCAGACGCATACGGACGGTGGCACTGGGGCCTTGGGTGGAGCCCCCTATGGGGCCATGAAACGCTGCACTGGGTGGGCGAAAAATGCCAAATTGAGCTTCCGGGACGCATGCGGACGGGGGCACTGGGGCCTTGGGTGGAACCCAATATGGGGCCACGAAACGCTGCACTGAGTGTGCGGGACGCATGCGGACGAAGCGCTGGGACCTTCGGTGGGGCTCCCTATGGGGCCACGAAACGCTGTACTGGGCGTGCGGGACGCTTGCGGACGGTAGCACTGGGACCTTCGGTAGGGCTCCCTATGGGGCCGCGAAGCGCTGTACTGGATGGGTGAAACGCAAGGAAGAGGGGGAGGAGAGCCACGAAACGCTGTACTGGGTATGCGGAACGCATGCGGACAGTAACACTGGGACCTTCGGTAAAGCCCCCTATGGGGCCACGAAGCGTTGTACTTGGTGTGCGGGACGCATGCGGACGGTAGCACTGGGACCTTCGGTGGGGCTCCCTATGGGGCCAAGAAACGTTGTACTGGATGGGTGAAACGCAGGGAGGAGGGGGAGGAGGGCCACGAAACGCTGTACTGGGTGTGCGGGACGCATGCGGACAGTAGCACTGGGACCTTCGGTGGAGCTCCCTGTGGTAGCACTGGGACCTTCGGTGGGGTTCCCTATGCGGCCACGAAACGCTGTACTGGGAGGGTTAAACGCAGGGAGGAGGGGGAGGAGGGCCACGAAACGCTGTACTGGGTGTGCGGGACGCATGCGGACGGTAGCACTGGACCTTCGGTGGAGCTCCCTATGGGGCCACAAAACGCTGTACTGGGTGAGAGGGACGCATGCGGACGGTAGCACTGGGACCCTCGGTGGGGCTCCCTATGGGGCCACGAAACGCTGTACTGGGTGGGGATGGGAAGAGGGCCACGAAACGCTGTACTGGGTGTGCGGGACGCATGCGGACGGTATCACTGGGACCGTAGGTGGGGCTCCCTGATAGGGGGCCACGAAACGTTGTACTGGGTGGATCAAACGCAAGGAGAAAGGGGAGGAGGGAGGAGGAGGGAGGAGTGGGAGGAGGAGAAGGAAAAGGAGGAGGAGGAGGAGGAGGAGGAGGAGGAGAAGAGAGGAGGAGAAGAGAGGAGAACGCGGGACGACGTCTCTTCAAAACGAAGACCCAACACCACAGGATGGTTGGGAAAAAAAACAAGATCTGGATAGGGCAGAGCGCGATATAAAGAAAACTCATGTTGAGTTGCAACCCGGGGAACCTCAAGCCCGAAAACGGGAGGCCCCAATCAGGAGTGACCCCGACAGGGTGCACTCGGGAAGTCCC